TATACTCGAGAATAGTTGTCCAGCTAAACATGTATGTCAAAATTATCACATCTTCTGGTTTTAAATCAACAATTCTGACGGATTTTGTGCAAGGACAGTTTCGGGTTCCGTTTCGCTTTGGCCGATGCTTGCCGGAAGTACACTTATTTACCGGAAGTTGTCGTCTCCTCCGCAGGCCCTTCGATCTTCGACTACGCGCGCGGCTCGACACAAATGAAAAACAATAAAAAAACAAGAAAAAAAATAGGAGCCGAATTTAAGACCTCGGTGTCGTACCGACCCGAGGTAATAATGCTGTTGCACGCTGCATTATTTTTAATAATGCTGTGTGCACGCTGTGTGGGCGCTGCATTATTTTTAATTATTATTCATTGTACTGTGTTCTCGGTTTCTCATTGGCTAAGAGCCTACAAATAATTTTGGGTATTTGTAGGTGCCTGCACTATTTACCAGCGGAAACAGTAATCTGCAGAGGTTATTGGACGGCACCCGAGATATTTCAGCGGTATTTTATGTGAAAATACAAATTGGCGGGAAATTTTTAGTTGAAAAGTTAATCAATTCAATGAATATTTATTTGTTTTCAATTGTTGCTTGTTTTTTTTTTCTGTCACAAAATGAATAAAACAAATATTGAATTCGGCTTGCGCAGGATACCAGAATTATTTAGACCTCGGTCAATGTTATCTTCCTCAGCCTTCGGCTTCGGCAGATAACATTGACCTCGGTCTAAATAATTCTGGATATCCTGCTCAGTCTCATCGAATAATTGTTATTATTATTTATTGAAAGTAATTCAAGAGTTTTGATTGGTTAAGAGCTCTTGATGAAATCGTCATAACCGTTCGGTAGTTGTCCAAATTTGGAGTTATGACATCACCATTGAATATTGAAAACACATATACGACATTATGACGTAATTTGGTCGTATATTGAAAACACATATACGACATTATGACGTCACACTAATTTATGCTGCTTATATAAATATTCTGTATATTTGAAGTGTAAATGGGGTCAGTAAAATCTGTAGCATTCTTTCAAACGCTTATATTCAGTTGAAATAAATTTGTTTGAATTAACTTGTTTGATTTTGTAATATGACAACAGTTTTAAAAATATTCTTTCCTAGTCTGATTGGCTTATTCAGTTTTGCGAACAATATATTATTGTTCCATTTTCAGTAGCTTGCGTGTTCTTGTTTACAATGCAAGCCTTTACACTAAGTCCGATATATATATACAAATAAATAATAAAACAATTATTGAATTCGGTTCTCGTAGGATATGAGGAATTATTAAGGCCTCGGTTTGTGTTATCTGCCTCAGCCTTCGGCTTCGGTAGATATCCTACTCGACCTCATTCAATAATTGTTTAATAATCTGTCTGCTTTCTTAGTCCGTATAAAACATTTACCCCTGGGAATTTCCCTGCAATCAAAAAAGACCGCTCCTGTTTTTCAGAAGAACGCTAAAAATTCTCGACATTCGCTGATATAATGCAGAGAGAAACAATAGGTTTGATAAGGTCGGTAATTATAAATTAATAGTTGTTTCCTAACTTAAAAATATACTCATGATCATGAATACATGAATATCTGCCCCCCCCCCCGCCCCCAATTATCGATACTCCGGCGCCTCTGCTCATGATAACAACAGGGTGTCCCAAAAAACCCCAAAAGCATTGAAATTAACGCATTGTTTGAATTTGAATGCCCTAGCACTAAGTAGCACTAAGCTAATCCCACGAGTGCATGAATGATTGACATATAAACTGACATAACATAATCAGCGTAACTATTTTTATGTCAGACAAAACGAACTAACGTAGTAAACCGATGGGTGCCGCATTAAAACTGAAATAAAATTTTATGCAAGCAATTATTTCAGCCTATTCAAAATTTGGTTTTAATCAATATGTACTTATAAGCTGTTTCAGTCAGGACAATTGCACGCATCAAACAAATTAGCAAGATAGACTCTGATTTTCTATTAAAATTTAAAATTCCCACAAGCAAAAACAACGGGCACTTTAGAAAGATATTTTAATTTCTTTATTGCCTTTTTATACGCATCTTTTCATTCAAATTCAAAGGGCATTCAAATTCAAACAATGCGTTAATTTCAATGCTTTTGGGTTTTTTTGGGACACCCTGTATATTGCTGATTTTTATTCGTTCGTGTCAATTTTTCGACAGCAATTTGCCCACTCCTCAAATGTAAAGCATGTCCCCCAGGACTTGGTTATGTTAAAGATGCAAGAGGATGTCAAACCTGCAAATGTACAAGTAAGTTAAATAATTCCGCCCAGACTTATTTTTCACCCTACTCGGTTTCTTTGTTCTTATCGGGGAATATAATCCCCTCTAATATTTACCTGAGAAAAAATGAGAAAAAACAACATCACGAAGGCAATATGGCATTAAATCCCCTCGTTGCCTCAAAATAACCTATACTTCTTTCAAAGATGTCATCATGACGAATCCTTGTTTGCAGATGTTTACAAAATTAAGTGGTTTATTCATGATCAGGTTTCAATCCGTAAGGTTGTATAATTATATTGCATGCATGGCTTTGCCTGGATGGGGGAAATGAAATTATATTTCTTGACTGCTTCATGACCAGTAAAATGGGGAATAATAAAAATAATTTCGTTTTTGGCCTGCATTTTCCCTTTGATCAAGGCCTACCTCTCTCTCTATTATACAGGGTGTATAAAAAAACTGAACATATTTAATAAAGTTGCTCTCAATTTCGTAAAACAGCTATTAGTATCCAGTTTTTGATATACATAGCTTCCTTGGGTGCATATAATGTAGAATAATAAAAAAATTCTCAAATTTTTTCAACCAAGGGGGTGGGGGAGGGTTCTTTTTCAATATACTAAAAATGGCTTGCACACACAATTTAATTTAAAAGTTTTAATCGTATCTTGAGTTAATGGGTGAAAATGTGTTGGGTGTTGTTTAAATGCTGCACATAATTTCAGACAATTTGCTTCAGTTTAAGCCCTTTGACTATTGTCGCAAACTTACATTTTTGCCTAAAAAACAGTCTTTCGCATGCTTAATTAATGCCTTTGCCTAATTTGGACATTACAGCAATATGCAAATTAGGTAAAGGCAATAAGGCATTAATTAAGCATATACAAAACGTTAACGCTAAGTTTTTAAAGAAAAAAATGAATAGTGAAAGGCCTTAACCTAAAGCAAATTGTTTGAAATTTGTACAGCTGTAATTAAAAACCCAGCCAATTTTCCATCCATTAATTTAAAATAAGATTAAAGCTTTTAAATTTTGTGCGCCGAAGCCATTTTTAGTTTGGTGAAAAGGAAACACTCCCCTGGTTTACAAAATTTGAGTTTACGTATTTTTTTCATTATTCTACATTATGGGTACTCAAGGAATCTATTATAACAAAAACTTGATACCACGAGCTGTTTTTCGAAATTGAGAGCAATAACAAATCTGTTCAGATTTTTTTTATATTTACCTCAACCTCATTTATCTCATCAGTAGCCAGCTGATGATTCCTTTTGGATGATACAGGCTGTTGTGCCAACCTTTTGTCTATTGAGATAAAAACAACATATCCGCTCTATCTATATGATATCGATCACTCTTTAGCATTTCGTGAACCAAAACTCACTCGTTTGGTCCAAGTATATATATTACACGCAGGTAAGGGGCCATTCACAAAGGATGTCCGGCCAAATGATGGATTTTCAGACCCCCCCCCTCCCCCCCCTTGTCCGGCATTGTCCGAATTAGTGACCCCTCCCCCCGGACATCCGCCATGCCTCGCAAAAACTCACGCAATCTTGTATATATCAAGAGTAAAAAACTTTTACTTTTAGAACTTTTTTATAACTGTAAATGTGAACACAAAAACATATAAATTACTAATTAAAACAAAATCTAGTGTTAACCGCATAGTCAAAATGCCAATTTCACAATGGGAAGGACTGCTCAAAATAGAGGGAAAAAGAAATTTGTTTTTGAATTTTTTTAAATTTCGGACATCCGGATTGCTAAAAAACCCCCCTCCCCCCTATGTCCGAGTTTGTCCTGATTTTCCAACCCCCCCTCCCCCCCTCGGCTCGGACATC